ATGAGGATGCTAAGGCTATTAGACAGCCATAAAGGAGGTTGAATCCTCTTATACTTGATGTGGTGAAAAAGAAAATCACTAAACTTTTGAATGCATATATCATTTATCCAATTAGTGATAGTGAGTGGGTTTCTCCGGTTCAAGCGGTGCCTAAAAAGAGTGGGATAACAATTGTTGAAAATGAAAATAATAAGTTGATTCCTATTAGGGTCTAAAATAGTTGACGTGTGTGCATTAACTATAGAAAGTTAAATGATGCCACTAAGAAAGACCACTTTTCCCTTCTTTTTATTGATTAGATGTTAGAGAGGTTGGGAGGGAAGTCACATTATTACTTTTTAAATGGTTATAGTGGTTATTTTCAAATTTGTATTGACCCTCTTGATCAGCATAAAACCACTTTTACTTGTCCATTTGGCACTTTTATCAAAGTTTGGCAATTGTTTAAGGGTTATATGTCTTGGTCTAAGCCATGTTTACCTAGTCCTAGTGGTCATTAAGCTTTTAATTTTGTCAATTGAGTCACAATAGGACCAAACTCATAGAATTAAGGAGTCTATGATAGTGGAATAGATTCAAAACTTGGAGAATTCACCCATTTTCTTGTTTGAGTCAATTTTACTTCCATTCATTTTCACTTGAAATTTGGAAAACCAAAAATATTTCTCTTCTTGATTTTTATCAAACCAACATTGTTTTTTAACTTGTGAAAATGGTTTATGAATTGTCTTTGGTTACTTAAGTTTGCTCTCTTAGGATTTAATGACTTAAGCACTCAACTATATTCTAGTTTCTTTAAAAAGTTTGATACGACTTAGAGCTTTTCAAAACTCAACCTATGCAAAACCCTCATCCATAAAGCACAACACAATGTTTATGAATTCTCAACACAATGTTTATAAATTCTCAATATAATATCCATACGTGTCTAGTTGATCTATAGGTTAAAATATACAACTCACATATAGCATGTACAACACAATGTTCATAGATGTAACACGATCTTCATGAATTTTTAACATAATGTCCATGCATATCTTGTGGTTCTATAGGTTAATTAAAATATATAAGTCACATAAAGCATGTATAACACAATATCCATCGGGTGCACGACACGATGTTCATAGATTCTCAACACAATGTTCATGAATTCTCAACACAATATCTATGCATGTCACGTATGGACATTCAGTTGAGAATGCATGAATATCATGTTGTGCATCTATGGACATTATGTTGTATATTATCTACGTTACTTGTACATATTATTAAACCTACTGATCAATTAGACAAACATGGACATTGTGTTGAGAATTCATACATATTATGTTTTGCATCCATAGATATTGTGTTGTACATGATTTGAGTCTTTAAATCACACAAGAAAAAATTGTACTTTCGCTTCTAAGAAAAATTGCAACAAGGGCCCTCAAACTTACAGTACAATGTCAAATTGTATTGGGCCTGCAGTACATTTTTTGCTTTTTTAAGACTTGTAGTGCTATTTCCTTTATTTTAAGTAAGAAAGGCTAAAAATGACAATATAAATCCCAACAAATTATTAAAAATAAAAGTCAAAACAGTTTTAATAAAGGAATAAAATGTAGTTAAAAAATAAATATTTATTAAAAGAACTTTTCACCTCGTCTAATAGCAATGGTGTTTCTTCAAAACAAATAAAGGAGAAAAAAAGCTAATAGGGAGGTGATGTTAGTCAAAATGATCTTCCCAATATCTACATATATCACATCTCATTTTTTTTAAAAATTTGCAGGTTCTTTCTTATTTTCAACTTTGTTATTATTCATTTTCAAATTATCATCTCTTGTCTTCTTTTTGTTGCCTTTTTTACCCACTGGCCATCCGTCCACCATCTCTTCTTCATTATCTCTATTTTTTGCATTAGTCTACAACAACTGGTGAAATTAAAGCAAGAAACCGCGAACCCTATGTGAGATGATTTTTTTACTCCATATTTCTCTTATATTATCTTATTTACATTTTTTTCTGTTCAATATTTCATCTCTAAGTTACAAGTCATCATCGTCATCATCATCTTCTTTCTTCCTCTTCCTCTTTTTCTTTCTTCTTGTTCTTTAGCGTCAATGTTCCTGCTTTTCTTTCAAACCATCAAACCTGTTTGGCCCATCGAGTTGGTCAAGCTAATTCAGTTTATAACTGGGTCACCCGAGTTAATTCAGGTTGCACACTTAATGGTATAACTAAAAGACTGAACTAGCTAGGTGACCGATTCACCGGTATGACTGATAGGTCCAGTCTAGTTTCCAATACAATGATCATATGAGAGTACCATAGGTTATGAGTTGATGCTTTTCAATGATAATTGAAAAATTACCATGTCCTACAATAATTTGACCAGAAGATTTAGAGTAAAATGGTGGAATAAATGCAACATAAAATCTGCAAGTTCAAGAGCAATTCTCGAGTGGATTAAAATCACTGTTAAGACAATTCAATAGTAAATTAAAGAACAAGCCACTACACCAATAGCTTTTCTAGCAAAAAAGAAGAAGAGGATGACCTAGTTGACGACTACCAAGACAAAAGAGGAATAAGCCTCTCTTATCCAAGAAGTAGCATCCCAAGCTTCACAAGCAACTTCGGATGAAGAGTCTCCACACAAGATATAAATGATAATGATATATTCAGCACCAATCTTGAAGATTATCAACTAGTTGCTGACAAATAAAGGAATTAAAATAAAATCCAAATAAATGTGGCCATTAGTCAACAAGTAAAAGAAAAAATTGTCACGGGTGAAAAAGACAAAGGAAAAAAAGACCAAAGATATGGTAAAAAAAAGAAAACTAAGAAGAAAGAAAAGAAAGTCATGGGCAGAATCTTGCCAAAATAAATAAGTAATCCAAGCATCGAGAAATTTAATCAGTATCAACTAGTTGCCAGCAAATAAAAGTAATTAAAATAAAATCTAAATAAATGTGGCCATTAGTTAAAAAGTAAAAGAAAAAATAGTCACGAGTGAAAAAGACCAAAAATATGGTAAAAAAAGAAAAAGAACAAGACAGAAATGAAAGTCACGAGCAGAATCTTGCCAAAAGAAATAAACAACCCACACCGAAAGCAAAAAGAAATTTAATCAGCATCAACTAGTTGCTGACAAATAAAAGTAATTGAAATAAAATCCAAACAAATGTGGCCATAAGTTAAAAAAAAGTCACGGGTGAAAAAGAAAAAAATATGGTAAAAAAAGAAAAAGAATAAAACAGAAAAGAAAGTCACGGGAGGAATCTTGCCAAAAGAAATACATAACCCCAGCACCGAAAACAAAAAGAAATTTAATCAATATCAACTAATTGCCAATAAATGAAAGTAATTGAAATAAAATCCAAACAAATGTGGCCATTAGTCAAAAAGTAAAAGAAAAAAAGTCACAGGTGAAAGCGACAAAGGAGAAAAAGATAAAAAAAATTGTAAAAAAGAAAAAGAAAAAAAAAAGTTATGGGCAAAATCTTGCTAAAAAAATAAATAAATAATCCAAGCGTCGAAAGTAGAAAGAAATTTTAAAAATCGTAAGAAAAGTAATCAGAGTTAAGAAAAGGGAAAATGACAATTAAGTCCCAAAACACTAATTTTATACCAGTTAAGTCCCAACAAATTCTAAAAGGCCAATCAAGTCCCATGTTATTTTTCCCCAATCAGAATTACGAAAGAAATGACAAAAATGCCCCTATGAGTAAATATAACATGTACACTCATCATCTCCAACATTTTCCTCCCGATTTGTCTTTTTCCCGCCATTAATGAGAGGTGCATGTAAGAGGTAGAGTTGTACGTTGAAGAGTACCCATTCCTGAAATAGAGTTATGCTTGGAAGAGGTGGAGTTGTCTTAATTATTGACTCAAGAAAGCTTAAGGTTTTGTGCTAGTGCGTGTAGACAGGTATTTTTTTTTTTTTTGCAAATCCTTTCATCTAAACAAAAAGGTTTACTCCATGAAGGTTTAATTTCTTACAAAATGGCTTTCGTAAGGAAAAAGATGGAACGGTTTTCTACAACTGAACATGAAAGAATTTTTTTATTTGACGTTATAAAATATTTGGCATGAAGATTCGACATTTTGCAACTGAAAGTGTAAGAAATTATCATCGAGTGTCCATATTTTAAGATGGAACGCTGTCACTGTTTGACTGATGCAAAAATCACTTATGTCAAATGTAACTTGTTTCTAAGTGATATATTATTACATTTTATTTTGTTTCTTGTAGGTTGATATTATTGGGTACGATGGAAAGTAGTTGTGTAAAGGAAATTTTTTGTTATTTTCATTTTGGTGGAGATATTGTAAAAGATATGCATGGGATAATGCGTTATGATGGGGGGAGCTATAATGGAAGAATGATTAGAGAAGGAATGTCTCTTGAAGGACTTGTTAGATTGATTTCATCATGCTTAAATTGTGATTTAAATGGAATAGAGTTGAAGTACAAAGTAAAATTTGATTGCAATGCCCTTTTAGACCTTAAAGATGATGAAGGGATAAATCAATTAATGAAATTGAATGATAATTTTACTCATGTGTGCATAATTGGGAAGATACAGCAAAGTACAGAGGCCACAAGAGATTCAATTGATGGGTAAGTTTTTTTAATAGTTGCATAATTAATATTATGCTAATATAAATATGGATGGTAGTAATAAACATGATTTGAATGAAAATGCAGAGTAGGATGTTCAGTTGAGAATTCACATGCTACACAAGATCTTGAAGTTCTACCATGTGCAATACAAAGTATCCCAGCACTAATGCCTAAGCTAAATGCAATAAAGTGGAAGGATTTGCTAGTAAGACCTGGGCAGATTTTTGCAAGTGCTGATGATTGTAGACAAGCAATCTACAAGTATAGTATTGCACACAGGTTTGAATATAAATTTGTGAAGAACAACACAAATAAAATAATTTCAATTTGAAAGGCAAAAGGATGTCAATGGAAGATAACAGCATATTCATTAAGGAAGTCTATGCCCTTACTTCGTGTAACAACTTTCAAGAATGAGCACTTACATTCTGCCCAAGAAGACCTTGAAGTTTCTTACAGTATAAGGTGCACACTAACTTCGTCTATAATTGATGACATAGTAAGGTCTAATGTGGAAAAAAGACCCAATGAAATCAAAGCTGACATATATAGAGACTATGGCATAAGTCTAACTTATCGTCAAGCTTTAAGAGCGAAAGAGAGGGCATTGGTGGAAATAAATGGGCTTCCTGACCAATCATATATGCTTGTTCCTTGGTTGTGTAATAGACTAATGGAGACTGATGCTGACACTATAGCAAAATGGGTGGCTTCTGAGAACAATAGATTTGAACGTTTATTTATTGCATATGGTTGTTCCATTAAAGGATTCTTGCTTGGGGCTAGGCCTATTTTATATGTGGATGGATGTTTCCTCAGTGGTCCTTATCAAGGCACCTTACTGGCAACTTCAACATACGATGCCGATAATGAGTTGTTTCCATTAGCTTTTGCAATAGTTGGGAGTGAAACTCATGATGATTGGACTTGGTTTCTTTAAAATATTAAAGATATCCTTGGTTCGCTACAGGTAACTATTGTTTTTGATAGAAATAATGCTATTATTGGTGCTGTTAGAGCCATATTTGATGGTGATAGACATGCATTTTGCTATCGACATGTTAAGGAGAATTTTAGCTCTGAGTTTAATAAAGTTTGTAGGGGAATGGGAAGGAACAGCAAAGAAGAGGCACTAAAGTTGCTTGATTACATTGCCTATGCAAGGCATGAGCACAAATTTCATATAGCCATGAAAAATTTGAGGATGTTCTCTCCACAATTAGCAAGATGGGTTGAAAATCAAGGCGATGTTGATCAGTGGGCACTATCGTTGTTCCCATTTTGAAGATGGGATAAGATAACAACTAACTTGGCCGAATCATTCAATGCATGGATTCTTGAAGGGAGGAGGCATAATATATGTGTTCTTATAAATGAGCATAGAGACAAGTTGAGCAAGAAATTTTTTGCAAGTAAGGCAGCCATGAGTAAGTGGAAAAGCATAGTTGGTCCCAATGTTGAAGCAAAGTTGAAGGAAAATATTTTGAGGGCAGAAGTTATGATAGTTCAACTGCATGGCTCACATATTGCATTGGTTCAGACACTGTGTGGAGATGTATGTGTGAATCTGATACTAAGGGAATGCACATGCAAAGTTTGGCAAATGTCTGGCATTCCTTGCCCACATGCTTGTGCAGCCATTAAAGAAGTACATGGTAATGTGTATAGCTATGTCGAGGAATGTTATCTTCGTAGCTCACAAGAGAAAATATACAGTGGCATTATGCATCCTGTTGAGACCCATGACATGCCAAAGCCAAATGCCTTGACAGTGTCTCAGCTCATGAACCAAACCTTTTTGCTGCCTCCTAGAACATCTCGACCAGCTGGCAGACCTCGTCATGTGAGGATCGAGTCTCAACATCAACAAAAGAAGGTTTATCATTGTTCTCGCTGCCATGAAGCAGGTCATACGAGGAAGAGGTGTAGAAATCCAAATCCAAGTTGATGTTATTGTAAATGGGTTACCACATGAACTTGGATTTGGGTGACATAAACATAATGGTTGTTTTAGGGGTTTTTTTTGGCATATAGCAGCCCTTGATTTGTAAATGCAAGTTGATGTTTCTATAACATAAACATAATGGTTGTTTTAGGGGTTTTTTTTGGCATATAGCAGCCCTTGATTTGTAAATCCAAGTTGATGTTTCTATAACATGAGACTAAATCAACTTGGATTTGGTTGACATGTATAGGTTTATGTAGATATATATTGGTTATATTAGGGGTTTTTTTGGTACATAGCAACCCTTCATTTGTAAATCCAAGTTCATGTCTTTATGAATGTGGACAGCTGATATGTGCAGATGCATTAGATGAATTAATACTTGTTTCTTACATGAACAGTTCATATCTTCTAGTTCGACGATCCAAGATTTCATGTACGAGTTGCCAATTTTTCGTAAGGAATTTGCAAAATTTGGTGTCTAAATTGCAAAATACTTCCACGAATTCAATAGTTCTTCGATCCAAAATTTCGAGTAGTAGTTGCAAATTGTTTCTAAGGACATTGCAAAATTTGGATTCTCACTAGCAAATTACTGGAGCTTTGTCCTAAAGGATTTAACTCTCCAACGAATTTAATAGTTCTTCGTTCTAAAATGTAGAGTACCAGTTGCAAATTGTTTCTAAGGGCATTGCAAAATTTAGTTTCTCACTTGCAAATTACTGGAGCTTTGTCCTAAAGGATTTAACTCTTCAACGAATTTAATAGTTCTTCGATCCAAAATTTAGAGTACCAGTTGCAAATTGTTTCTAAGGACATTGCAAACTTTGGTTTTTCACTTGCAAATTACTGGAGCTTTGTCCTAAAGGAGTTAACTCTTCAACGAATTTAATAGTTCTTCGATCCAAAATTTAGAGTACCAGTTGCAAATTGTTTCTAAGGGAATTGCAAAATTTGGTTTCTCACTTGCAAATAACTGGAGCTTTGTCCTAAAGGAGTTAACTCTTCAACGAATTTAATAGTTCTTCGATCCAAAATTTGGAGTACCAGTTGCAAATTATTTCTAAGGGCATTGGAAAATTTGGTTTCTCACTTGCAAATTACTGGAGCTTTGTCCTAAAGGATTTAACTCTTCAACGAATTTAATAGTTCTTCGATCCAAAATTTGGAGTACCAGTTGCAAATTGTTTCTAAGAAAATTGCAAAATTTGGTTTCTCACTTGTAAATTACTGGCACTTTATCCTAAAGGATTTAACTCTTCAACGAATTTAATAGTTCTTCGATCTAAAATTTGGAGTACCAGCTGTAAATTGTTTTTAAGGGCATTGTAAAATTTGGTTTCTCACTTGCAAATAACTGGAGCTTTGTCCTAAAGGAGTTAACTCTTCAACAAATTTAATAGTTCTTCGATCCAAAATTTGGAGTACCAGTTGTAAATTATTTCTAAGGGCATTGCAAAATTTGGTTTCTCACTTGCAAATTACTGGAGCTTTGTCCTAAAGGATTTAACTCTTCAACGAATTTAATAGTTCTTCGATCCAAAATTTGGAGTACCAGTTGCAAATTGTTTCTAAGGGAATTGCAAAATTTGGTTTCTCACTTGCAAATTACTGGCGCTTTGTCCTAAAGGATTTAACTCTTCAACGAATTTAATAGTTCTTTGATCCAAAATTTGGAGTACTAGTTGCAAATTGTTTCTAAGGGAATTGCAAAATTTGGTTTCTCACTTGCAAATTACTGGAGCTTTGTCCTAAAGGATTTAACTCTTCAACGAATTTAATAGTTCTTCGATCCAAAATTTGGAGTACCAGTTGCAAATTGTTTCTAAGGGCATTGCAAAATTTGGTTTCTCACTTGTAAATTACTGGAGCTTTGTCCTAAAGGATTTAACTCTTCAACGAATTTAATAGTTCTTCGATTCAAAATTTGGAGTACCAGTTGCAAATTATTTCTAAGGGTATTGCAAAATTTGGTTTCTCACTTGTAAATTACTGGAGCTTTGTCCTAAAATAATTACTTTGTTGAGAATTCATTACTTACCCCACCCAAAATTTTGACACACAGTTGCAACATTGGCTATATATAATTGATTTGGTTGCTTGTTCAGCTTGCTTGATAGTCACACCGAGTGTTTTATTTAGAAAATTGCATGATTCATTTGTTACATTGAATTGGATCACCATATGATTAAAGTAATATAAATAGCAACCCGGCTGTATCAATTGGCAGGAAATACATGTTATTTTAATTTGTTAAAAATAATAAGTATTAATTAGTACCTGTGATATAAAATCCCAATGGAGGTGTTGGCAATCTTATTTACACAAAATCATAATTCAGTTAGGTAAAATGCATGTATGTGACCAAATTTTGATCAAATAACATGTTTTAGATACAAAATTAATCAAGCATATCCCACAAAGGCCAACCTAATTTTGCAGCCAAAAATTCTATTCTTATACACCCTGCAATATATTGGTAAAAATATTCTTATAAGCCCTAAAATTTGGATATAGCTTCAAATTCAATTGAGCATGTCCTCACTTGTACAAATTACATAGTCAACCTTCAGCTAAAACACGTGAGGGAAAAAATTGTAGAAGAGGCAATTTCTACAAAATCAGAATGGTGAAAACATGTCACAGACTAAAAATTCATCTACACTCTTTTGCCCTCTTTGGTCGATTAGCTGCTGAGACAGAGGCAAATACTTCATTTCTTACTTCATTTCTCATGTGATTTACCAGCCACCACACCATGTCCACCCTAAACTGTCTTAGTTGTTCCTAAAAAAACATAAAGAAAGTTTAAGTTTCACATTGATAATTGGAAGAAAAAAATTAGAAAGATTATGGATCCCATATACATACGTTTGAAAAGTCCTCCATGGTCAGTCCTCCTTTTCTTCTTCTACCATCCCATTCTGTACAGTACTTTATGACATATACCCCACAATCATCTCTATAAATATGAGCAATTAAGATAAGGCAAATTGTCTACTAGAAATGAATACATTAAAAGGTACTTGTTTTCATAGATAGTTACTTACACATTACTCTGTTTGGGAAGTTCTTTAAATATCATCTCCATCTGAAAATCCTCTCCATATTTCTCCGGGTCACATGCTTGTAACAACTCAATTATGCTAGTTCTCTACAAATAGTTCTAGAGTTAGATAACCATTCCCATGTAAAAATTTAAGTCACCTAAAGTAGTTATGTAAAAGAACTAATAAAGCATACCATAAATCCGGCCATCATCTTCTTCTCTTTAAATAACTTCCCAGCCAATGAATCAAGGATGAAAAATTTATCATTTTTCAAATCAGCACAATAACAAAACCAGTGATTGAACACAAGCATAGGCAAGAAGAGGTAATCACAATTTCCAAGGTTATATCCAAGTTGATCGGGCATGAGCATCTTTGCATCCTCAAAGACAGACCATCTTAACTTTTTATCCCTTAGGGTGGCCATAAATTCTGAATCAAATATGTACCTCCGTACCTTCCCTTCGTGAAGTTGCTCACCAACCATCACTTTTGCGACCATGCTCATGACCTACAAGGATCACATCCAACACTCAATGTGCTATCCAATTAAGCAACTAATGAATTAAAACTATTAGACATACCGCTGTACTTATCCATTTTTTAGGACCAAGACTTTGGCATTCGACCCTAGTTAAGTAGTAATCGTACATCTCAACAACACACCTACCAAAAAATGTGTTGTTATATCAATCATAATGCACCATGATTATCGAAAAGTAATATCACATTACTTACTCTTCACCCTCTGCTTGATTGGTCCGCCTAGTGCAATATTCATATATCTGTTGTTCTTTTGTAATTCTCCCTTGTATTGGTTCTTTCAAAAAAGGTGACCAATTTACCTCAACCCTTTTCCTCTCAGACCTTCGAACCATTGGGCTTTCATTTATTCTCCTCTTCTTCTTACCATCTTATCTTTCATCACTTTCTTCCTTACTATTGGAGCCTTCATCTTCATCTTCTTTAGATCCAGCTCCAGCTGCAGTTTCATGTCCATCGTCATCCTCATCCTCATCCCCATCTTCATCCCCAGCTTCATGTGCATCTTTAGCTTCATCTTCACCCTTGTCTCCATCTTCATCATCTTCTTCAGCTTTATTTTTATCTCCATAGTCCTCTTCCTCTACTTCTTCTTCGCTTGGTTCGCCAACCCGCATGATAGCTTTACTATTAGATATTTGAAGCTGGTTAAGACTTTGTTGCAACTTCAGCACTTTACTTGCAAATGTATTAGCATATTGCAAAAAGTCTTCATATATCTCCCTCACACCCTAACCAAGTTTCAACACCAAGCTTATTAAGTAAGTGAAAACCAAAACATAGACAATAAAGTATAAACATTTATATACCGGGTGAGTTATCGTTGCAAGTAGAGGTAAAACTTCAGACACTTCATTAGCCTGACCACCGTAAAGAATACCATGGATGCTTTCTTTTTCCAGCTTAACCTGTTTCTGCACCATGTGTTGGTTCCACAAATGCATCACAGGCGTTCCACCATCTATTGACGGTGTTGGGCCTAATGGAAAGTGGTGCATGTAAAATATTTGCACCACAAGGATAATTATAATCTAATCAATAACAAATAAACTGGAACAAAATATAGAAGGATTTCAAATAGACTATACCAGTAAGAAAAATAAGCATCCTCCTACATTCTTCTTCTTTCGTCCACTCCTTAATGCTGTCTCATAAGTCGAAATTTCTCTAATAAGCTCCGACAACACAAAAGATGACCAATCATATTCTTGAACATTTCTCAAACTTTTAATAGTCCTCATACTAACAGTTGTACTTGTTGTGGGACAAAGAAATGTTCTTAAAGTGAATAACAAAAACACCGTTTCAAAATTTTTTTCAGCCTTGCCGGATATTACCAAACTCTTCAACTCAGTGAAGGGTTTGCCAAGATAATTCTTCTTTAATGCTTGACATGCTTCGCTGTCATCATTTAAAAAAACAACTTTCCCACCCTAAGGCACACCTAAGATAGTATGCACATCCTTTTCGTCAACACTTAATTTCTTCCCTCTAATTCTAAGTGTTGAGGTTGGTGTGTCAAAAGCAGCAATTACTTGTTCACATAACTCTCTGGGTAGTTTATTAAATTTAAAATCCAAGAGAGATTGGAACCCCATTTTCTTGACCTTTGTACATAACTTTTTATGTTTGGATATGTATTCCACAACTTCCTTGAACTGGCCAGGAGAGCAACGCGTATTAAATGAAACCTACAAATCAAGAAGAATAATATAACACCATACAATGCATAACAATCATACTAAAAAACCTCATTAATTTAAAATAAATACAAGTTAGTGATACTGTTGCCGTGGAACAAGATGCTGATTCCTTGCCTCATCCATCTAACGAAGCCATGTTTCTATATCTTTCTTATTCAACATTTGATAATTTTCGCCAACTTTCTCTCATTGAGTCATTGGCTTCTATAAGACCACTGAATCTTCCTTCATTTTTTTTAAGAAACTCTTTCTTAAAGTTGTCGTATCCAGACTTCTTTTTTATTGTAGCTTTCTTGTTGTCCATAGTTTCTTGGTTCTTTGTGCCCTAACAAACAAGCTTCCCACCTAATTATCACCGATGCAAGTCCCAAAAAAAAAACACTGGTTAAAATTAAACCAATAAATTGAAAGAAAGTAAGCAGAAACAAGCAGAATTTCATTAATAAAGCCTAACAACTTTGCTCATGGTCAAAGGGCACAACAAACATGCATGTCCACAAGAAGAGAGAAGCTGAACTTTTGCAAAGAGAAATTGAGAAAAACACAAACAAATTTTGGGCAATAAAGATTGCACTAACAAAACCTAGAAAATTACCTTCTTTTCTTTGACAGCTAAAAAAATGTCTCTTTTTGCAATAAATTCCCGAAACTATTTCTTTTTGCATTAAATTCCTAATCCAAAAAAGGATCTTCAGTAGGATAACCACTCACAGGAAACAGGCATCAAAAACGCACCTTAAGTTACAGGGAATGGGGTTTTTTTTATGTTGGTGGGGGGAGAGGCTGGGTCCAGGAAGAAAGACGAAGATAAATTCACTAAATTACTCATGAAAAAACAAAACAGATTAATACAGATACATCTGTATGGAATTGCCCAGAAGAAGTGAAGCAGATTGAAAATTTATTTCCACCCATTGAACATTAAAATATTTGCATGCATTGGTGAAGATAACTTAAATATTGTCAGCATTTCCATTGATTGAAAAATTATTTGCAAAGAAGAAGCACAACAGATTTGCACAGCCAAGCATCAGTAAATTGTGCACTGAAATGAAAATCATTGCTCCACACAAATGTAATATCCAAAGAGAACAACTATAATCATGTCATTCAGCCCATTGTGCCCAATTCCTTCAAATATCATTGAGGATTCATACTACCCAAAGTCTACTCAGATCAGGTAAATTTCTTCATGGTCAAATCGATAGAACGGAAGTTTCTTTTCTTGATCATCCCCATAGGCATTCGATTTCTAACATCATTAATCCCTTAATCTTCAATAACCCTTCTACAACTTCTACCAAATAATCAACAACACTAGTAAGCATTTAACCACCATCATTAACACAACTCTTCTTACAAACTTTAAAAAAAATCTTAATTATCATTTTGTCTAACAATTTCCCTTTAGATGTTGCACAATTTTAATAGGTAGATCAACTTTACAATTTATGTACAAACATAAACTTTCTTAGGTAGCATAGATAACTCCTCAAGGTTCTACTATGAAAATTAAACAATCTCATTTTCATCAACTTCTTTCAAGCCTTCCTACAAATACCTTGAGAGCATTTATCATGGACAAATTTGTGAGATGAACAACTAAGCAATTCCAACAACTCTCAAGCTTTTACTTTTATTAACCAAATTTAGTTCATTATCATGATAGAATAACATCAAAGATTAACACTAGTAAGCTTTTACCATTCATTCTGCAGTCTCTATTGTCGTCTGCAGATCAAATGAGATGTCCAAATATTCTAAACTTAGCTGCACTGGAATAGACTCGTTTACTTGCAAGTGCATTGGCACAAAATAGTGACCTTAAATTTTAGGTTTACCTGCTTCTCATGACTTCAATATTTTAGTATTTTTTAGGCATGTAAAACATGTCAATGGAAATATTCAGAGTCAAATAGCCATTGATTCTAAATTTATGTCAAATTGGAAAAGTTTATCTTAAATAAATGCCGTAGGCAGCATTGTCTTGTTCTTGATAATAGTTAAAGGTACAGTCTGTGTTTTCATTGTCATTGACCATTTGTTTGCCAAGCTCTTGCAATTTAATTCATCAAACAGTGTTCAATATCTTATGCGAGATTAAGATAACATGATTGTGGATCAGCAAGTGGTTTACGATGAAGGGGAAGAGGAGAGCTTCAATCTTTTACATACACGAGAAGAAAGCAGACCAAACTTTTAGCCAATCAGCCAATACACATACACAAGCAGGACTTCATTAACTGAAAAGGAAGGAAAAAAGAAAAACTGAACATGCATATACACACACCTCTAATAGCGTGAAACAGAGCAGGAAAGAGGAAGGGATTCAGCTGCTTCCACCAGAAAAAAATGAACGCCCAGCTCAGGGATCTAAGTCTTCAAATCCCAACAAACAATAAAGGCAAAAAAATACAATTTAGGCATATAAATCCGAACCTTAACGGAAAAGACCTCGCCCCTGGCTCTCCATTGTCGTTATCGCCAAAATCTTGGCCCTCGCCACCGATTTTCCCTCACCTCTGTCACTGCCACCAACGTTTCCCTCTTCTCCTTCAAGTGTTCAACTCTCAGTTGCCGGCTACGTGTGCTGCCCCCAGAAAAATCACTCTCCCCTGGCCCAACCAAGCCCTCGTTCACCGTATGGATCAAAGAGTGCAGACCCAGAGAATAGAGCTTCGCGTCGCACAGAGACTCGTTCGGGCAGAGAAGAAAACGAGCTTTTACTTGAAGAAGGGTGTTTCGGTCTTTTCCTGTGACATCAAAATACCACTTAAGGACCTTGGGACTTGATTGGCCTTTTAGAATTTGTTGGGACTTAATTGGTATAAAATTAATATTTTGAGACTTTATTGTCATTTTCCCTTAAGAAAAGCCAACTCAGCCATGATATTTCTAATCTCCTATATAAAATCAGAAGACTCTTTATTTTACAGGCATAAATTTTTCAAAACCCTCTCTCTCCCTCCCTCCCTCCCGCTTATAAAAATTCCCTTCTCCTTTGCTCTTGAACTCTTGTTAGCACTTTCAATCTTCACCCTGTTTCATATAATAAAATTATATGTTTATAATTCCCTTCTATTTTAATTCTTATTTAAACCCATCTCTTGCCCGCTATGATATTAGAGCTATGTTTTTATTGTTCTAGTCAACAAAGCTAAAACTTGATGGCTTGTTCCTAGAGAGGGACATGTCATGGTTCTGTAATTGTGTGGAGTTATTTAAAAACCTACTTAAAATTTGACTTGATTTAAAAATCTATTTAAAAACATAGATAAAAGTAAGCTTTTTTAAAATAGAATTACATATTAATTTTAAATGTTTCAAATATACTTTAGAGCTATTAAAGTAAATATATATAATATCAATTATAATATACAATGATTAAAAGGACTTACTAACTACAATATAATATAATAATAAAGTAATAATTTTAAAATTAATTTGTAAATCTAATCTGATTGAAAACAATCATAAATAAAATTGAATGGATTGATTAAAAATTAAATAGTGATAGTGATATATGTATAATATATTACATAATATATATATATATAGACATATATAAGCCAGCTTGTTGGTTAAATGAATTAAAAATAATCCTAATCTATTTAACTAAATATACTTAATAAAAAGTTAAATTTAACTTTAACTTATTTAGTGAATAAGTTAGATTGGAGTGAAGGCTGATACTTGCACCCCTAGATGAAGAGATATGAAGGAGAGATGGCGCTAAATGCGGAGTGAGAAGGCGATGAAAATTGCATAAAATCCGAACACAGCAAAGACGCTTTGTTTTGAAAAGCCAAAACTCAAAAGTGATTGAATTTGCACATTGAAAAAATAAAATGTTCGAGGCCTATTTGATCAGTGAAAAAATAGTTAATGAATCAAACTAAGGTCAAATTATATGTATGCATGATGTATGATAATTTAAGTGAAAAATAAAAATTAAAAAGAACTAAAATGAGAAATTAGGAATTAATAAGCCTGTCATTAAGCTATTTCTTTTTCAGTCGTGTCTTGCATATTTTCATCAAGAATCTCATCCAAAATGCCAATTTTATGTAGCTCAAATTAATCTCACGTATAAAATTAATTCTTTCAAAATTATTATTTACACTTTTTTCTAAAAAATTCTAAAATAATAAATTAACTTTAATAAATTTAATTGATACCAAAATGTTCAAAATATCCAAAATATGGCTTAATTCTTTTTGTTTCTTTGGACAATTAGCTTGCACTTAAAAAAAAAAAGGAATATATAGTTGCAGTTCTTTCTTGGGTCAATGCCACGGCTGACGCGCATGTGTACCAATGAAGTTTGTACGCACGGAAGGGAAAGGTAGATTCCCCCCCCCCCCCCCCCGGGTGGCCAAAGGAGAAGGAAAGGTGGATGGGAATATAAACACCGCACTAATTTCATTTCATTGGTGAAAAATCTAGAGTGAGAAAGATTGGAAGAGAGAGGATAAGAAGAAGATTATGATGACGGACATAACGAGGGTTTTGCCGAAGGCGTTGTTGTGGGAAATCGTTTCACGCTTAACTCCAAGGGATGCAAGCCGGACATCTGCCGTTTGTTCGTACTTCAAGGAATGTGCAGATTCCGATGAGACTTGGGTAGTTTTCCTGCCGTCCGATTGACGAGACTTGGTCTCCCATTCATCTTTTCCCAACTTGATATTTCTTCCCAACAAACAGCGAGACCTTCACCTCTCTGATCACCCCGTTCTTGTAGCCGATGGAACCAAGGTAAGATCAGTTCCCACTTTTAACTTTCTCTATTTTCGTCTTGCTTGATCGGAACTTTTGGGCAACCTTCGTCTTCCATTTTTTCCCCCCTGAGTAACAATGATTTTATTCGGGGAAAAACGAATCAGTAGTTTTAATTTCAAAAAGTTTGAGCTACTTTCCCCCCTTTTTAACAAGGTTATTAATCCAGATTATCTAAAATGCATTTTCGGTCCTTTACTCCTTTGTATTGTATTTCATTTGAAATCACTTTATTTTATGCAAAATAGTGCTATTAATTGATGATTGATGTGGATGGAACAGAGATTCTTCTTGGAAAAAGAGAGTGGCAAGAAGTGTTACATGATAGGAGCAAGCGGGCTTCATATTATCTGGGGAGATACGCCTCGCTACCGGAGTTGGATTCCAATTCCAGAATCCAGGTTTTCTTTATTCTTTCTTCTTTTATATTTATATAGCACTTATTCAGGTCAATAAGAGTATAAAGTACTAATGATTCTTCGAAGTTCAAGTTGTGTTATAGCGGGTCTGTGTCTGTGTTGATGGTTTGAATTTTGTTATAGTAGTTGAGGGCTTAGTGTTTGGTGACATATACATATATCTTGTAGATTTCCCCAAGTAGCAGAGCTCGACCATGTATGGTGGTTTGAAGTGAAGGGCAACTTACAGATTAGGCTTCTGTCCTCAAAAACATCATATGATGTGTTCTTCATCTTCAAGTTTGGAAGCAACAGATTCGGATTTACGGATGCACCGGTGAGTTTCAGTCTCACTAAAGGAGATCAATCCCCGCCTCGGGAAGTGGTGCTTGACCCTCCAGGATCTGATGTTACGCAGAGGGAAGACGGATGGATGGAAATTAAGGTGGGGGAATTTTTCACTGAAGAAGATGGTGATGATGATGGCCTAGTGGAGTTTAGAGCATGGCAGACTGAAGGTCATATTAAAAGAGGCATTTTAGTTGAAGGAATTGAGTTCAGGCCTACAAGGAATGAATAAAGAAGAAAATTGTATACATATTTCAGCCTGGTTCGTTTGTGGAGTGATTTTCATGGATTTTGAATGATGCTAAGAATGAGAAGGAAAATGGATTGCAATGGAACGAATAGTTATGTTTGCTATGTATGTGAAGGAATTTAAAGTTTAGGAAAAATTTAATGCTTCGAGTTCATTTTCTAAAGCTCCAGAATTACCATAGAAAGCTCTGCATTGTTTAATCATTTTGCTGTTTTCATATTGAGATCAACTAGCATTAACTCAAAGCAGATCAAATCACATGATATTGCACTCTGGTCTTCAAAGTATAATAAGTTCTATGCACAAATTTGCTTGTGATCTAATTACCATATCTAGTTGTTTTAAAAAAAACCAACTTTAAAGAGAGTGAAAAGTTATTCTATTTTTTTTATCATATTTTAGATATTGAAAATTGAATCAGTCATTGAACTGATCAAGATAGTAGATTAAAAAGTTAATAGTTCAATCAAGAGTCTATTCAAAATCAAATTGGTCATAATTAAATTAATATATTTTTATTTTTAGGTTATATATTTTAAATAAGAAAAGCTAAAAATGATAATATAAATTTCAACAAATTATTAAAAATAAAAGTTAAAAAGTCAAAATATTAATAAAGATACAAAATGTAGTGAAAAAATAATAAATATTTATTAAAAGAACTTTTCACCTTGTGTACTGGCAATGATATTTCTTCAAAACAAATAAAGAAAACAAAAACAGAAGACAAAAAGCTCATAGGGAGGGGACGTCAATCAAAATGATCTTCCTAACGTCTGCATATACCACGTCTCATCTATGAAAAACATGCAGGTTCTTTCTTATTTTCAACTTTTTTACTATTCATTTTCAAATTATCATCCCTTCTCTTCTTCTTTTGCCTTTTGTTACCCACTTGCCGTCCGTCCACTGTCTCTTTTTCATTATCTCTATTTTTGGCATTAGTGTGCAACAATTGGCAAAATTGAAGCAGGAGACCGCAAACCCCATGTGAGATGATTTTTTATTTTTGGCTCCATATTTCTCTTAGATTATCCTCCTTACAAATTTTTCTATTTAAAATTTCATCTCTAAGTTACAAGTCATCGTCATCTTCTCCTTCTTCTTTTTCTCTTCCTCTTTTTCTTTCTTCTGGTTCTTTAATTAGCATCCATGTTCCTATTTTTTATTTCAACCTATCTAACCTGTTTGGCCCATTGAGTTGGCCAAGTTAATCTAGTTTAGAACCAGGTCACCTGAGTTAATTCGAATTGCGTACTTAACAGTTTAATTGGAAGAATGAATCAGTTAAGTGACCAATTCATCGGTATGACCAATTGGTTTGGTCCAGTTTTCAATACAATAATCATATGAAAGTACCATAGGTTATGAGTTGGCACTTTTCAATAATAATTGAAAAATCACCTTGTCCTACAATCATTTGATCGGAAGATTTAGAGTAAAATGATAGAATAAATGCAACCAACAATTTGCAAGTCCAAAAGCAGTTCTTGAGTGGATTAAACCCACTGTTAAGACAATTTGACAACAAATTAAAGAACCAGCTACTGCATCAATAGCTTTTCTAGCAAAAAGAACAAGTTGATGACCTAGTTGGCAACTGCCAAGATAAAAGAGCAATGAGCCTCTCTTATCGAAGAAGTAGCATCCCAAGCTTTGCAAGCATCTTTAGATCCACCACACAAGACATAAATGATAATGATACATTCGGTGGCGATCTTGAAAATTATCAACTAGTTGCCAACAAATAAAAGTAATTGAAATAAAATAAAAAACAAATGTGGCCATTAGTCAACAAGTAAAAGAAAAAATAGTCATGAGTGAAAAGATGAAGGAGAAAAGGACAAAAATATGGTAAAAAAGATAAGGAAGAAGAAAGAAAAGAAAGTCATGGGTGGAATCTTGCTAAAAGAAAGAAATAATCCAAGCACTGAAAGTAGAAAGAAATTTAACTAGTCTCAAGAAAAGTAATTAATCAGAGTTAAGAAAAGCCAACTCAACCATGATATTTCTTCTTTTTTTTAATAAAAACACGGACAAAAATATGCAAGGATTACAAGAGTCAGGATATATCAGAATCCAAGATGATCCTACATCCCATAAGTGGTTCGTTGTAGTTAGAGAGGTTATAGCTTTCATAAGAAGTTTCCTGTGCGACTAAGTCAGTGCATTTGTTTGCCTCTATAAAAATATGATCAAAATTGACAGTCCAGTTTCTCATAGTAAGCTCCCTAATTTTCTCGATGGTAACTGCTAAAAGATGATGATCAAAGAAGTTATGTTAAATAAGTAAGGGCTTCCATAAAGTTAGTATGTAAATTAATCTTTGTAAGATTAGCATTCTAACCAAGCTGAAGGCCTTTTAAAATGCCTAATAATTCGACTATCGTACAAGGTTGATAACCAAGATATTTTGAAAATTTAATAATCCAATTTCCTTTTTCATCATAGATGACTCCACCACAAGCCGTAGCACCAAAGGAGTTAACAAGACCATCTATATCGAGTCTAACCCACCCTACTTCAGGAGGATACTATTTAGCCTCATATCTAAGTTTGTCTTTATTCAAAATATTCACTCTTGATAAAAGCCACATATCATTTATAACATCTATTATAATATTGCTCTGTAGGCAATCCCAAGAAGTTTTCTGGAGGAAACACTTGATTTTTTCATAAGTAGGCCGCTTCTAAATTTTAGACCAAATATTAGGATTGTTTTGATCATTTTGAGATTCAAACATTTTGTTGGTAGATTTTATAAAGAAATTTTTGTCAAAGGAAGGTCTCTAGCAAAGGACATCATCTTCACCATGAGGGTTAGGAGGTTTTGCAAGAGCAATTTGATTAATCACATCATGATGAAACTGGCCTCCAAGAAGGTTGAAATTCCATCTTCCTGCAGGCGTGCATAAATCAGAGATTTTGGCATGAAGAATAGAATTAGCACTAGAGAGGGCATATTTGACAAGAGGTTCAGGGAGAGAAGCCCATTCGTCATACTAAAAAGATATTTGATTACCCTTACCCACTTTCCATCCAACTTAAGACATGAAATTGTACCAAATTTTGCAAATACTACTCCATGTGTAAGATGAATAACTTGGTTTATAGACCATTGGAATAGTGGTTTTGCTGTGTTTGTATTTATCCCAAAGAATTTGAACCTAAAGGCATTTAGGTTGAGTGATGAGACCTGTAACATCCTATTTTTAATTCCCTGATTTACTAAGATTAATAAAGATAATTAAGTTAATTTGGTGTGTGGTCAGAGAAGAATAATAATTGTTTTTAGTTGGAATTTCAAGTATAAATTAGGTCTAAAGTAAAATTGGGTCACTTAGGGACCAAAAAGTGGAGAAAAACAAGCTAAAAAGCTTCTGTGCCACATACCTCGATGTGTGCGCAGTGTGCCACGGTGCACGAGGCCATCTGGCGAGAACTTCCTACTCTGTACCATATACCGCGACATGTGAGGATAGGCACCGCGGCACACGGTGTAAAATTTGAAAAATTAATAAGCAAACTAATATGAAAAACAAAGAGAAATAAAAGAGAGAACGGAAAAGATGCACCAAGCTTTGTTAAGGTTTGCTTGTAGACAACATTAGGAGTATTTTGGAGGCTACAAGGTAAGTACCACACTCATTAATCTCACCATTTCTTCCACATTTATAAGTTTATAATTAGGGTTTGATAGCAGAAGTGAATTTTCGGTCCATATGAGTTATGGGTCTAAATTTATTGACTCAAATGGAGTTAATGGGAGTAGATTAGAGTATTTAAATCTAGTATAATAGATTTTTAGTGTCTTGGATAATTGAGCACTATTAATATACAAAAATTTCATTTATTATGGGTGGTTGGAAGATTGTGATGGTATTAATGAGAATTTATAGTTCATTAATATTATTGGAGACTAAAGGTAATAAATAAACCCAAAGGATGGGCTCCAATTCTTGTAGAGTGAATGTTGGTTAATTTAGAAGTGAAGATTGAGGGTTTAATGCTTGAGATAGTGATGTTGATGAAATTCAACTTGGTTGATTGTAATGTTTAGCTCTTCATCACCTATTGAATTGGAAAATTCAAGCTTGGAAGCTAGTAGATTAAGGGGTAAACTTTTAACCTCTCAAAGGTTTGAGGTAACTGAGGGAACCCTACTTTAGATAGTTATATATTAATTGATTGTTAATTGATTGTAAAATATGAACTGTGAATGTTCCATGCATGAAATTAATTTTCAATGTGAAACGATGTATTAATTTTAATAAGTGCATGAAAATTTGTATGTGCATAATGCTATTTTTGGCTTAAAATGCAAAATTTAAAATCAAGAGGCTTTTAAACTATGAACATGCTTGTGAATAATGTTGAGAAAATAATGAGAATTTACATACTTGGGTAGCGTACGATCATGAGCCTAACATGATTATGGTGATAATGAGTAAATGAAAATAAAAATGTGAAAACGAGTAAGTATTGATCATGGCATGATCAGTGGCGGGAGTTCACCTAGGGATTGAGAGTAGAGAAAAATCCATATGGTATTTAGGTTGCCCTCCAATGCATCGGAGTATAGTCTTGTCCTACAGTTTGTTGAAGGACTGTCCCATAATTTGTCGAGAAACTAAAACCTAGCTATCTCCACCGATTTAATAAGAAAAATAGTTTAAGGTATGAGACACTCTAGAGATTCGAGAATGGGGGAAGCCGTCATCCGAGAGTGAGTCATGTGATCTTTAGCCTGGTTACACCTCACGATTAGTGAGCTTAGGTAGTCTAGTCACACAGATAGAGCCCTAATTAGTATTATAGCCTATAGTTTTGGTCTGAGGAAATAAGAAGGATATAAGGTTGATTGATCATTACCTAAATAAATATATAACATGTCACACGTGTTGAGTTGTGGCAAGTTGTCTGAGTGAAGGGTTATGTCACATATTTGAGAATATGGTGACAATGCACCTAGTACATGTGAGATAAAGAAGTTACTAAATATGAAATGATGAGTTATGATATGTGTGAACATGTTTTACATACTTGGTTTCTTATGCATGTACTTAGTTTATGATTGATATATAACTGCATATGGTAGGTTTTACCTTGGTTACTGAGTGGCTAGACTCACCCCTTCTATTTAACACTTTTTAGACTCTAGAC